TTTAACAGGACGTCTGGCCTAAGAAAGCGAAATGGACCGGTTTAGAAGTTTACGGACTTTCCTCCCCCCTCCCCCCTTTCACTATAAAAGGAAAAGATAGGGTTTGCTGCGAATTTGACCTTCGCTCCTGTTCCTTTTCCCGTTTGTACGTCTTTCGGTGGTAGTGGTTGTTTTTCACAATGGGAGTATTTGTACGCACAAAAATTGGTTTCACCTTTCACAAGGGGTAATAAATTAAAAAAAAAGTGAAGTGAAATACGAAAACATTTTAAATATAACAACACAATCAGAACGGAGAAAAACTAAACTGAGAGAGTGGTTAGGTAATGATCGCATCCTTACCCACTGAAATTGCACTTATTCGAACTACAACAGGACAAAATCTTATCAGATAACTCCTCCCAAAAAATAAGAAATGACGATATGTAATGGCAGAAGAAGAAACGCGGACGTTTTATAATTTTTTCATAATTAAACATGAAGAGAGAAAAGTCAAAAGGGAAGCCTCTTGACGTGGTTGCCACTTTCCGAGTCTTTTTCTTTATTTTCTACACTTTTCTGCCTCGGCTGAGACAAATGCATCACGTTCCTTCAGATTGACACCTGCGGCACGAAATACTACACACTTAAATGGTGTTACATATAGTTCCTGTGGTACGCGTCGTAGGACACGATCTTCTAGGCTAAGCCGCGACATCGCGCTCACTTTCTCCTCACAACGCACAAAGTAACCTTCAGAAGTTGGAAAAAGATACTCGATTTCTTTGTGTGATAGCGAATAGGGTGGCCCGCGAACCTTGTTACCTTTCACCCTACCGGTGCGAAAGATGCCCTCTACGTAAATAAGTCCATCATCCTTCAGCGCTTGTTTGAGCAAATACACATAGTTCGGGCGCTGATCACGGTTAAGCGACGTTATACCCTGACGTTCATAAATAATATCAAACTTCTTGCCTTTAAGAGGTCCTTCCCACAGCGACGTTGAAAAGAAATCATCCCAGTGGATGTGGATGTTTTTGTACGATTGGATTGGCAACAAAAGCTCTGTACGTTGAACCAAAGAACGCACCGCCGTTTCGGATACCTCGATACCGTGGACATCGTAGCCTTGGATCCCCATTGTACGTATGATCAATGAGTCCCCACACAGGGGCACCAACACCTCAGGTAGTGCCTTGAGCTCACCATCTTTTGTCTTGCATTTGGCTCCTTGTGCAACTTTGGGATCGGGATTGGATGCGATAAATCGTTCGGCCGTCGACAAGTCTCGCCCGGTCTGCGACCATATAAAGTTATAGACGGCTTTGTAAAAGTCGCTGGCGTCCTCGCCGTGGCGCCACAGGGGGTTGCCTTTTTGCCACTCATTCTCCCACCACGTTGGCGATGTACGTGGCATCGACGAGGGTGGCAAGGGGATAAACTTTTTGTGCGTCGCTTCCTGAATTTCATCCCAAAGCCAGGGGCCTATGAAAAACGCGGCGCCGCCGAGCACCCCTACCATCAAGGTCCAGCTCTGCAGACGAGACATCGTTATCGCGCGCCGGAATATTCGAAACGGCACGTGCTTCTTCCGGATGCGATTGAATAAAGCATCTTCAGGTATGTCGTCGACCCCCTGGTATCGAGGGCTACTTAATTTCATCATTTGGACAAACACACCGTTTCCTTCCTCCTTCTATGATCGACGGCAGACACCACTTTTCTTTTCCCTCGTAAAAGTCAGCTCCCTTTTTAGTTGTTGTTGGTTAAAACACGGTGCACAGAGAAGGGAAACACAGAGGAAAGGTAAACACCATGAA